GGTTTCAAACTACGTTTAAATAGATTAATTGCAGCTGTATTAGCTGACGCATTATCAAAAGTAATTGTTAAAACTTTATCTTTTATCCCATAAAACCCAAAAATTTCCATTATTGTACTAAAAATAGCTGTTGCGTTATGAGGATATGGACATAAACGAAAACCAATTATTCTATTTTGTAAAACCAATTATTCTATTTTGTAAAATCCAATCGTCATCAACGTAGTGCGCTGTGACACATAAATATCCAGTTTTATTACACCCCTCCCACAGATCAGAAGTGCAAGACACAGTAGCATTAAAAGTCCTAAAATTATCAACAAGAGATTGTCTCATTGCATAAAAAACTTTCATGCAATCAGAACGAGTTGTGTTTCTACTTACCCGTTTAAATTGTGGGCAAAAGGCTGTCTGGATGAATTCTTCGAAGGAGGCATCATCTGCAAAAGAAAGAGGCAATTCGGCACTAGCTAAAAATTTAGCTAGTGCCTCACGAGCACGTTGTGCATCGTATGTAAAATTTTGTAACCCATGTGATGTGAGTGATAGTGTTTGTTGGCGGGAGTCCACACTCCCACCTTGGTGCAACGGTAGACATATTTTCCAATGTATATCCAGATGACAAGTACCCTCACCCTTTTTATTAGAAAAGTACTTTTTACAATATTTACATACCGCACGAATTTCCATCTCACCTATTTTTGGATTTGGTCGGGGCTCCTCGGTGAAATGCTGTCATGCCGGAGAAGTTCGCGGTCTTTTTCCTCTGCTGCGTTCTCCAGCTTCCTCGTTGTATACTAAAGCATTATCCACCGGAGCATTTTCTAGTTCAGTGGGGGTGGGGTTGGAAGGCATCATTTCTTCCTCAAAAAATGTATCCTCACCAAGCTCAGGAAGAGCAGTGAAATCAGGGAAGTTTGGTGAGGCCATTTTCTAGAAATTGATAGAACTTGATTCAACTTTGTAAATGAAAGAGCTAGAAAATGAATGAACGCGAGAAAAAAGCTTAGAATCAAAATCAAAGAGACAAGTTGAGAGATAGAATGAGAGTGAGATGAGAAGATGAGAGTGAATTGTTGTGTGGGATTTATGGTGGAATTAAGGGGTATTTATAGGGGATTTTTAGGTTAAAATTCAGTTTTTTTCCGTTGGGCCCGCGAAGGGCCCACTGGACCAAATGAAATGGGCTTCTTCGTGGGCCGTTTCGCGGGCTTGGGCCGGGCCAAATAAGGGCCGAATCAGGGCTTGGGTCGGGCCGAATAAGGGCCGTGCCGCGAGCCTTCACGTGCTTGGGCCGCGGGCTGAGAAGTTGAGGCCCAGCCCTAGTCCATTACATGTACCGTGCCGGCACGGCCCGTAATAGTAACGAACCGGGCCGTGCCGAATCAGGCACTATTACGGGCTGGGCCGGGCCGTCCATGGACGGCCCGGCCCATTTGACACCTCTAGTTATTAATATAGTAGTTACTTATAATCGATTATTAATTACTATCTTTTAATTATTTAACATACTAATTTATTATATATAATATAATTACTAATGTACTCGTTAATGATAATATCCATTATTATTATTATATTATTAATATATTAATTTTTATTTCTAAGTGATTATTAATTATTTAATATATTCATTTAAGATTATTAATTACATGTACTCAAAACAAAATTTTATAAATA